TATTGCAAGTACTTCCAGTACTATATTGAATAGCAGTGGAGAGAGTGGGCAAATCTGTCTCGTCCCTGATCTTAGAGGGAAGGCTGTCAGTTTTTCCCCTTTGAGGAGGATGCTTGCTGTAGGCTTGTGGTAGATGGCTTTAATTATGTTGAGGCAGGTCCCCTCTATACCCATTTTGGCTAGGGTTTTCATCATAAAGGGGTGCTGGATCTTGTCAAATGCTTTCTCTGCATCTATTGATATAATCATATGCTTTTTATCTTTTCTTTTGTTGACATGATGGATTATGTTGATTGATTTCCGAATCAATCCTTGCATCCTTGCATCCCTGGGATGAATCCTACTTGGTCATGGTGTACGATCTTTTTGATGAGTAGTTGGATTCTATTTGCTAGTAGTTTGTTGAGGATCTTTGCATCTGTGTTCATCAGGGATATTGGTCTGTAATTCTCTTTCTTTGTGGTATCTCTGTCTGCTTTTGGTATCAGTGTGATATTTGCTTCGTAGAAACCGTTCGGAAGTGTTTTTGATATTTCAATTTCGTGGAAAAGCTTAAATAGGATTGGGAATAAGTCCTCTTTAAAGATTTGGAAGAATTCACTAGTGAATCCATCCGGGCCAGGACTTTTGTGCTTGGGGAGACTGTTTATTACCATTTCAATTTCCTTGATGGTGATAGGTCTGTTCATGTATTCCAGGTCTTCTTGGTTCAGCCTTGGGAGTCTGTAGGAGTCTAGGAATTTATCCATTTCCTCGAGGTTTTGATGTTCCGTGGCATAAAGCTTCTCAAAGTACTCCCTGAGGATCCTTTGAATTTCTGTAGTTTCTGTTGTAATGACCCCCTTTTCATTTCTGATTCGGTTTATTAGGGTTTTCTCTCTCCCTTTCTTTGTGAGTTTTGCTAGAAAGCCTCAGGTTTAAGCCCTGTACTGAGCCTATGATCCCCCAGCACTGCTGGGAGTGATCTTTGCACACCAAGTTGGGACCAGCCTCCCATGCCCAGCCGAGTGTGACCCAGAAACCAAAAATTAAAAATATCATTCTGCAAAGAGCTAATTGCAGAGTTAGAAAGGGAAGTCTAAAGAGAATAAATTCTGGTAGTAAGAGGGTTATATCCAGGTCTGGAGATTCAGAGAGATTATCTCTAAGGAAATAGCATTTCAGTGGAAGGATGAGAAGGCTACTTGAGGGGACAGGAAGCACCACCATCTGAAAATAAGCTTTCATAAGAGGAAAACCACACTTGCAAAGAAGACCTGGGGCAGGAAGGAACTTAGCACAAGAGAAGAATTGAAAAAAAAATGAAGCTTAAGTGTGATGTTCAAGATGGGGGAAACGAGGCAGCTAGATGGACAGGGTCAGAAGGCTTAGAGATCAGGTTTCAAGTATAAAGTTTGGTGACCAGAATGATAGTTCAATGGGTAGGGCACTTGCCTTGCAGGCAGCTAACCTGGGTTCAATCTCCGGCATTCCATATTGAGCCCCAAGCCCAATAGGAGTGATTCTTGACTATAGAACCAGGAGTTACACCTGAGAATTGTCACCGTTCACGCAAAAATATAAAGTTTCATCTGAAGTGAAGTGGAAACTGATTATTCCTAACTGCAAGTCAATAGGACTGCTGGGAAAATAAGTATGGGTGGGGGAAAGGAGGTTATTGTAAATGTACAACTGGAATATTACTCAGCTATGAAAAAAATGCCATTTGGAATGATATGGATGAACATAAAGGGTGTCATACTTAGTAAACTAAGTCAGATGGAGAAATATAGACACACATAATTTACTCTTTCAAGAGAAATCAAATAGGGCCGGAGTGATAGCACAGCGGGTAGGCATTTGCCTTGCATGCGGCCGACCTGAGTTTGATCCCCGGCATCTCATATGGTCCCCCAAGCACCACCAGGAGTAATTCCTGAGTTCAGAGCCAGGAGTGACCCCTGAGCATCGTTGGGTGTGACCTCCCCCCCAAAAAAAGGCAAAAAAAAAACCCAGAGAAATCAAACAAATGAATGAACTAAGTAAAACAAAAATAAACTTTTGGACTATGATACCAAATTGGTGATGGGAGTGGAGGGGTGGCGGGGGTGAAAGGATAAATGAGACAAAAGGGGTCATTATAAGGCAGAACTGGATTTTTTATGATAAACTTAATGTAGCATAATGAAGAAGTTGATGGACAATAACATATGCCTGAAACATACATCTTATACTGCAATGTAACTTCAGGTTTCAAGTGTTGTTATTGGGCCAGAGAGATAAGATGCTTGCTCTGCATATGGTAGACCATGGTTCCAATCCTGGCACCACACATGGTCCCCTGGACATTTCCAGGAGTGATCCTTGAGCACAGAGCTAGGAGTAAGACCTGAGTACCTCTGGATATGGCTCAAGACACCCCCCTCACATATATCATTATTATTTGGGTAGGAGACTCCATAGCAGTGCTTAATGACCAGGGCCACTTCCTGTGACACTCAGCCAGCTGCAATGGTTGACTGACACTGAGAACACGGCCCTGGAGACAGTGCAGACTCTGGTGCTGGGAATATCAGGACCACCCCAGCAGTGTTTAGGGGCTTCCAGGGGTACACTCTGCAATAGTTGTGTGTTGCTGGGGATTGAACCACATGGCTTGTATGTGGACAAATTCTTGAATTTCCCCCAGCCCCTAGGAATTTATTTTTTAAGAAATGAAAAATGCTGGTAGCCACAGAATGTCTCGGTTCTCTAAGTGGCTCTCCCAGCAAGCTAACACGTGTAAACATACATTGTGGGGCCCAGGTTCCAAACCACACAATTTGGTGCAAGAGCAATTTTCAAATTTTCACTTGCATCCTATGTGCTAACTTCCTATTGACCCAATAGGACCAATAGAAGACCAAACCTAAATTTAGACATATGGCTCTCATGCAAATAAAATTTGTGAAACAGTAACATGCAGTTGTCATTTAAACTGGGTATTAAAAATAAATTCTAAGACACTCCCAACATAAATGAGTTTATCAAGAGGAGAAGAGATGAAGTAGAAGAGGAGATGAGAAGGAAGAGCCAGCTGGAATGTCAGCACAGTGGCGGGTATGGGCACTTTGGTGGTGGGGATGTTCTAATCATGTCACATGCTTAACACATAAATACTAACACAATTGTAAACCATGTCACCTCAAATTTTTGGCTTTTTGGGTCACACCTGGCAATGCTTAGAGGTTACCCTGGTTCTGCACTCAGGAATTCCTTCTGGCTGTTCTTGGTGGACCATATGGGATGCCAGAGATCAAACCTGGGTCAGCCACATGCAAGGCAAATGCCCTACCCTCTGTACTGTCACTCCTGCCCCATTTCAATTGCTTAAAAGAAATTTTACTAGATTGTTTAAAGGAAAAGAATAATTCTATAAATTGAACTATAGTGTAGTACAACTTAAAGATTAGTCTGGAAGGTAGGGAGGGAAACTGTTTCTACAATCGAAACTCCATTCTACAGTTGAAAAAGAAAAGGTGTTCAGTATTAAGAACTCTGAAGCAAATGATCATGAACAACGTTGTAAAGCATGACATTTAAATTAAGTTGCGGGGAGGAAGAATTCTGAAGCCCACCAAGGACATAAACCTGGTAATTTCCAGCACAACATCCTCTGGTTCTACTGTTAAATCCTCAGTTGAATTGGTCTGGTGACTCCAGGAGGGACCTCCAGAATACCTGAGCACTACTTGGTAGGTCCACTAAAGACAAATAAAACAGGACTCACGTTTTCTGGGTCTGTTACTGGGATCATGATCACTGAACCTAACTTTTCAGGATACAACAGGGCAAATTCTAGGTCAGGAAGAAAAATCAGCATTGGTAGATTCCGTGCTTTATCTTATACAAAATACAAGTCTTTTGCCCAGTGATGGTGATTAAATCACAGTTGTTCTGGGAGAATATGAAAGGGAAACCTCCCATTCTGCTCTCTTGGTGATGCAGAACAAACATTTTAAAGCCAAACTACTAATAGTTCTTGGGGGAAACTCTGTGATGCAACACTTCTTCCATGTAACATGAAGCATTTTCCCTGACAAGGCAAAAATTCACATGTGGTGCACATTTCTACATTTTTTTTCCTCCTAGGCTGACAAACTTTCTGGGTGTCCAGTTTAAGGAGAAAATCATAGATCAAGAGCTACTATGCCAGAGGGATGGAGCAATAGCACAGCAGGAAGGGCATTTGCCTTGCACACAGCCGACCCAGGTTTGATTCCCAGCATCACATGTGGTCTCCTGAGCACCACCATGGGTAATTACTGAGTGCAGAGCCAGGAGTAAACCCTGTGCATTGCCGGGTGTGACCTCCCCCCCCCCAAAAAAAAGAGCTACTATGCCAGGGGCTGGAGCAATAGCACAGCAGGTAGGGCATTTGCCTTGCATGTGGCTAACCCAGGTTCGATTCCCAGCATCCCATATGGTCCCCCAAGCACCGCCAGGAGTAATTCTGGAGTTCATGAGTCAGGAGTAACCCCTGTACAATGCCAGTGTGACCCCCCCAAAAGTAAAAAATTTAAAAAGCCACTATTTAAAAGATCTAGCTATGTGCCAAGGTCCTTGGTCCTGTCTGCTCCAATTTTAGTCTTATAACGTCTACTTCCATTTTATATGCTGTGAATCCAGTCTCAGAAACATAAATGAGGTATAACTGAAGTGAAATGGAAAGAGGGAAACAAAACTTAAAACAGCTACTTAGTCATTCTCATAGGGCTAAAAAACAGTATGAAATATGAACCCTAGAGGTTTGGCATAGAAAACAAATAAAAATGATTTCCTTATTCTCCCTGATCCTACCTTTCTTCTTCCGGGTTTATCACATTACTTGGACGATACACTTGACTACACCTCCTGATGTTGCTCAATATTTCAGTGAAAGAGGTGTTGGCAATCCGAAGGAGGATCTCTCATCACCCTCCCTCTATCACCCCGTAAACTTCTGATCGAGCCTTCACTATCCCAGTCCACCTGTTGGCGAGATGAGACTCTACCATCAGATGCCCCTACGGGCACTCCTATTGTTTTCTCTCATTTCAAGCCAACTGTGCAAGATCTGTGGTGAGTATTCTTTGAGCTAAAGCTACTCTAAGGGGATAAACTCCTGAGGGCTCCTATGTAGAGTTATCCAAGGAAAGATCCTACTCCAGTTCTATATGTGGTTGGACTTCATGTTAAAGGTAGCAGGACATAGTGAGTTAAGTTCCAGAATGTATCTTGTTTTAGGAAGGAGCCTAGATTCAGCCTCACTGTGGCTCCCGGTTCTTCCTCATGCTCAGGTTCTCTCTGTGACAGCCTCCCTCCCCATCACAGTCCATTCCTGCTCATTTTTATTTTATGTTATTTTGTTTTGTTTGATTTTTATTAGTGAAACACCATGAGATACAGTTGTAGACTTACAAGTTTTTGTGCTTGGGTTTCAGTTATACAATGATCGAGTACCCATCCCTCCACCAGTGCCCATTCTCCACCACCAATGATCCCAGTATCCCTCCCACCCCCCCCAAATCCCCCATCCCATCCCGCCTCTGTGGCAGGGCATTCCCTTTGTTCTCTCCCCTTTTGGGTGCTGAGGTTTGCAGAAGTCCTGCTCATTTTTAATCAGAAAATTCAGGGTCCCAGAAATTCTTGAAGCACAAGATTTTGAGACACAATCTGTTTCTCTACAGTTAAATTCGTGGGTTTGGGGGTTAGCCCTTTATAACTCACAGGGGGAAGAGAAAGTTAATAATCTCTTTCAAATAATGAAAATATTTGTCTTGGCATTAGAGTTTGCAGGTCTCAAGACACAGTTTTCTGCTTGTTTTTTGCTACAGAACTTTTATTTAAACCTCATTGTAGGATAGCATTGGTTTGTCCTTTCAGCCTTGCTGCAGGGAGCTTAGGTTTATTGGGTTACTTCCATCACAGTGCTCCCATTCCTCTGTGTTTATTTGTAACCTCTTTCTTTGTGCTCTGTTGACTTGTAATGTTTTTCTCTTTCCCTTCTTTTGCCTAGTTAATTCAGAGCAATGTCCTTTTTGTATGGACACAGTAAGAGATACATTAAATTTGTAGGGTGGCTCTCCAGGGAACATCTCAGACTACAGTGCTCAGGCCGGATTAATCATTCCTAACCTTAGCAGGATCCAAATCTAGTTATTACTTTTTGGATCATTACAGCATTTGTCCATGACCAAGCTTCTAACTTATAGTTAAGTATTATGGCACTTTGACCTGGCCCATTTTGATGCCAGGGTAACACATAGCTCACAGCTTGCCCTGGGTCTATCCAATCCCTCGTCGGGACCCTGCTTTTGGGGTTCTAGGGAGTAAGGGAAACAGGGGCTTAAGTCAGGAAAACAGATGTACAGGAGGAAAATATCATTCAAAGTCAAATAATGCCCAAGTCACAAAAGCATAGCTTTAACTGTCTAAAATATATATACCAAAAGGACATTGCTCTGAATTAACTATGCAAAGTTAACTCTTATCCTTATTCTTAAGGATAAGAGAAAAACAATATTTATAAGTCAACAGAGCACAAAGAAAGCAGTTACAAAGAAACACAGAGGAATGGGAACACTGTGATGGGAGTAACCCAATCAACCTAAGCTCCCTGCGGCAAGGCTGGAAGGACAAACCAATGCTATCCTTCACCTCACCATTTCTCTTCTGGGTGTTGGCCCCTGTGTGGTTTTATTTTTCAAATAATAAAGTAGAAGAAAGAAACCAGGATTTGGATTTAGTCTGACTCCTTTGTACTGAATGATCCAATGTTTCTGACTTTTATTTCGCTTCATCATTGAGGATAATACAGAGTGGGGATTGAAGCAAGTGATTTCTTGAAGTTGGGTGTAGTTTGTCAGGGTCATGATTTCTCTTTTGTAAATCTTTTCCACACCTCTGTATTAAAGCACTGTGATTTACTAAGTTACTCATAGTTGGGGGCTGGAGCGAAAGCACAGTGGGTAGGGTATTTGCCTTGCACGCAGCCAACATGGCCGGCCCGAGTTCGATTCCTCCGCCCCTATCGGAGAGCCCGGCAAACTACCGAGAGTATCTCGCCCACAGGGTAAAACCTGGCAAGCTACCCCTGACGTATTCGATATGCCAAACACAGTAACAACAAAGTATCACACTGGAGACGTTACTGGGCCCGCTCGAGCAAACTGATGAACAACGGGAGGACAGTGACAGTGACAGTGACTCATAGTTGAGTTTTAGACATGCAATATTGCAGCACTGATCCCATCACCAGTGTCAACTTCCCTCCATCAAGTTCCCTCCCATACCCTGTAACCCTTCACCTGCCTCCAGCCTGCCCTCTTCACAGACATCTTTCCAAGTTTGGTTGTTAAAGTTTGGGCCTATTGGCTTCAGTGTTGTTGACTTTTGTGGTTTGTATATTTGACTCTTCATGTGTGCGGAGAGTAGTCTCAGCATGATGGTGGCTGGTTCTGGAGGTCTTCGGCTGCCAGAGCCCTGGTCGGGGCGGTGAGGAAAACTCAACCCGCTCCCCTCCAAGGGGCCCCGGCGAGGACAGCCAGGCACTGGTGGCAGGAGACTCTGCGCTGTTCTCTTCCGGGAGCTGGGTTTTATAGTCTCTGAGTCTTGGCCATTGATGGGATTACACGGCACCAGGGGGCCAGTTGGTGGGTGTGACCCCCGCCTACTGGAATTTGGAGGATCTGGGTGGAGGATGCTCAGCCCCGATCTGAGCAGGCTTGGAGATCTCAGCCCCGGGACCCGCATGCCTTTGTTCCTCTGACGGTACCTTCATGTGTGTGGAGAGTAGTCTCAGCATGGTGGTGGCTGGTTCTGGAGGTCTTCGGCTGCCGGAGCCCTGGTCGGGGCGGTGAGGAAAACTCAACCCGCTCCCCTCCAAGGGGCCCTGGCGAGGACAGTCAGCCGCGGGGGCAGGAGACTCTGCTATGAAGGTACAGGCAGAGGAACAAAGGCATGCGGGTCCCGGGGCTGAGATCTCCAAGCCTGCTCAGATCGGGGCTGAGCATCCTCCACCCAGATCCTCCAAATTCCAGTAGGCGAGGGTCACACCCACCAACTGGCCCCCTGGTGCCGTGTAATCTCATCAATGACCAAGACTCAGAGACTATAAAACCCAGCTCCCGGAAGCGTGCGGCCGCATTTGTGGCCGCCCGACATCTTATTATCTCATTCCTACTTTGGACAAACTGGCAGGCTACCGAATGTAACCTGCCCACATGGCAGAGTCTGGCAAACTCCCCATGGCGTACTCAATATGCCAAATACCAGTAACAATGATGGGTCTCATTCTCCTAAAGAGCCTTGAATAGGGCACTTTCTTAAAAATCTCAGGGCTAGGATGAAGGAGATGTTACTGGGGCCTGCTCGAGGCAATCGATGAATAACAGGATGGTCATGATCATGATCAGATATTTGACTCTATCATCCCTTAACACCACCTTGTCCCCATTACTTCTCATCTGTCTCTTCTCTCCTTTCCCTCCACTCTTTCTTTCCTTCTCCTCCCTATACTTGGGGCCAAGTTTGATCAGAGTAGCACCTCCTCCCCTTTGAAACATTGCTTTCACTCATTCGATAATTCTAAATGCCAAATATAAGTGATATCATCCTGTATTTAGACTTCTTCTTCTGGCTTACTTCATTATACATGATGTTTTCCAGTTCCATCTATGTCGCCACATGAATTGCATGATTTCATCATTCCTTAGAGCTGTGTAGATTCCATCATGTATATCTACCACATCTTCATGTCAACGATTCTGTCGTTGGACATCTAGGTTGATTACAAATCTTAGCTATTGTACTTAGTGCTGCAATGAATAATGGTGTACATATGTTCTTTTTAATGTCCTGGGGATAGAGACCCAAAAGTGGAATTGCTGGGTCATATAGGAGCTCAATTCTGAGGTTACTGAGTACTCTTTACACTGTTTTCTATAGGAACTGGACCAGACAACATTCCCACTAGCAGGGATGAGGGTTCCTTTGTCACCACATCCCTGCCAACAGAAATTGTTTCCAGTACTTTTGACATGTGACATTCTCACATATAAGATGACATCTCATTGTCTTCTTGATTTGGGTTTCCCTAATAATAAGTGATGATGAGAATTTTTTTTCATGTGCCTGTTGGCCATCCCTCCATCTTTCTCAGAGAGTGTCTGTTCAGTTTCTCTCCCCATTTTTTTTTTTTTTGCATTTTGGGCCACATCCAGAAATGCACAGGGGTTATTCCTGGCTCTGCACTCAGGAATTACTCCTAGCGGTGCTTAGGGGACCATATAGGATACTGGGAATTGAACCCGGGTTGTCTGCATGCAAGGCAAATGCCCTACCCACTGTGCTATCGCTCCAGTCTGTCTCTCCCCATTTTTTGATGGGGATTTTAGATTTTTGTTGTTGCTGTTGATGATGATCCTTGTGCTGGAGTGATAGCACAGCGGGTAGGGTGTTCACCTTACAAGCGGCCAACATGGCCGACCCGAGTTCGATTCCTCCGCCCCTCTCGGAGAGCCCGGCAAGCTACCGAGAGTATTCGATATGCCAAACACAGTAACAACAAAGTCTCCAATGGAGACGTTACTGGGCCCGCTTGAGATCCTGTATATCAACCTTTTATCTGATGTGTTGAGTGAAAATATTTTCTTCCATTCAGCTGTTGTTTAGTTTTAGCCCGTTTTTCTTTTACCATACAGAAGCTTTTGATTTTGTAGTTCCTGTTGTTTAGTTTTACTTCTGTAAATATTTGCCCTGGATTTGAAGTTTCAAACAATTCTATCCTAGGCAGCCACATCTTCCTGGTGTGTAAAATAAGTAACAAAAAAAGATCAATACCACAGTGGAAAGACATGTACTCCTATGAGCTAAAGCACAGGATTCTCCAACTCTAATTTTTAATCCTGTTCCATCATCTCTTCTGTTGTATTTACAAATAAAGGGCCTCTAGAGTTCCTTTCCAATGAAATTTTTGTTCATTGTAAACAATACTTACAATTATATTATAATTCACTTTGTCTTTCTTGGCCAAGGAAGCTGATTTGAGTTGTTGACCAGGAAATGAAAAGGTCTATTTCTGTGCCAAAAATATATATATACTGAGCTGGACGGTTCCACAAAATTTCACAGTAAATGACTCACAATAGTTGAATTGTACCTGCTACAAGCCATGACCTTTCAACAATTACTTTATTATGACCTTCCTGACTCTTTCTTTTATAGTAAAATAAGGTGGTCAGTGAAAATCACAGTTCTTGAGTTCACTAAGTATAGTGATAGGAACTCCCACTGGGTTAGATGTAACAATATATACAAGTGTTACAGTTTATAAAGTGCTTTTTACCTAATAACTATAAGTAGGTATTATAATAACCATTCTAGAATGAAGAAACTCAAGGTCAAGAAAAGTATACAACTTACCTACAGTCATGAATCAAACAGCAGAGAGTCCAGCCAAGAACTGGCTGAACTAAGATTCTTATTTCCAACTATCTCACTCACCTGTGAAATAATATAGAGATGGGTAAGATTTTCTTGGGTTTACGGGCAGAGTTTATTTGTTTTAAATATAAGCCATAAACATACTGGAATATTTGTTATTATAAGAGGATATGTTTTAGTATAAATGCATTTTAAAACATTTAAAAGTATAAAGGATTGGGACCAAGAATATAACTCAGCAGTAGAGTCAATGAATTGCTTGCATGAGTCCCTGGGTTTGGTCCCTAGCAACAACTAACAATTACATGCATGCACGCACATGTGCATGCGTACGTGTGTGTGTGTGTGTGTGTGTGTGTATGTGTGTATGTGTGTGTAGCAATTCTTGGGCAACTTTGAGCTCTCTTTACTTCCATGGTAAAATGTGTTTTTCTCCAGTCCTCACTCCTGGGACCTAGATGTATTCAGAGTAGGTACTGACAAATTAAGATTTTTTTTTTTAATTCCCAGTCTGTTGAGCAATCAGAAAATGCACCTTTAGGGCCACTTGACAATATTATACAGATATTTTTACTTCTTTCTCTCAGTATTAACCTGAAGGAAAGGACATAGAAGGTGAAATAACTGAATCCAGGAAGTACGAGGACAATAACAGCTGATGTGTGTTTTATCTCAGTGAAGACCCCAATGACCCCATATTCAGAATCATGGATTGGTAATAGAGCTGTCTACAGGACTACTATGCTCCCAGCTCACAAGGGGAAGTTTGTGCAATTGTCAAATTAGTGAAATACTTCCATGCTGGCTGGTAAATGAACAAAACATCGCAAAACAGGTGCAATAGATACGTTTTGCGTTGTTTCAGAAACCATCACCACTGGTTGATATATGCCTGTGCCATATATGTTACTCAATGCTATTATGTCACTCCTGTTCCTATTTTTAAGATTTTCTAATATTTTGGTTCCTTTTTCTCTCCTGCTACAGAGATAGGCAAAGAGCAGTACTTCCATATAAACCCTCTGGTGAGCACAATAATCAATTCCAAATATACCGAAGGAGTGCAAGCTGCTAATATTCTGTTGTCCCTCAGACTTGTTGGGATTCATAATCAAAGCCTCGATCAGCGACTGATCCAACAACTCCAAGACAGCGTGGCAAGAAAAGGTCAGAGTCCTTATCCCCTGGAAGACGTTTTTGGGGGCGAGCACATCTGGTAGTCCTCAGGGCTTATTCCTGGCTCAGTGCTCAGGGTTCACTCCTGGAAGTATGCAGGGGACAACATGTGGTGCCAGGAATCAAATCTGGGTCAATTTCCTGTAAGTCAAGCACCCTGCCCTTCTGCAAGATTTTGAAAAAAGAAAAAAAGGCTTAATTTACTTATAAAAAGTCACTGTCACGGTCCTCCCGTTGTTCATCGATTTGCTCGAGCGGGCCCAGTAATGTCTCCATCGGAGACTTGTTGTTACTGTGTTTGGCATATTGAATATATCACGGATAGCTTGCCAGGCTTTGCCGTGCAGGCGAGATACTCTCAGTAGCTTGCCGGGCTCTCCAAGAGGGGCGGAGGAATCGAACCCAGCTGGCCGGGCCAGCTGCGCGCAAGGCAAATGCCCTACCACTGTGCCATCGCTCCAGCCTTTATAAAAAGTATCTCCAGAAATTCTAAACTTGTATGTCCAGAGTATCTCTGCTACCTCCACCATAACTGTGTAAAACTCGAGGCTCAAAACATTAATCTCCTGGGGCTGGAGCGATAGTACAGTGAGTAGGGCGTTTGCCTTGCACAAGGCCGACCTGAGTTAGAGTCCCAGCATCCCATGTGGTCCCCTGAGCACCACCAGGAGTAATATCTGAGTGCGTGAACCAGGAGTAACACCTGTGCATCGCTGGGTGTGATCCCCAAAAGAAAAAAAAAACAACAATATTAATTGCCTGGAATTTGAAGAGGTCTAACTTCTTTCAGTCCTAAAAACTATGTTTCTTTAATAGAGAAAAAAAGCAAAAACACAAGAAATTGTAAATGTTTCTCCACTTACCATGCTTTATAAACAAGATGGTGACCTTATGTGGTACTGGGAATCAAACCATGGTCAGCTGCTAGGCAAGGAAAGGGCCTTGACCTTGATACCACCTCTCTGACCATTCTCAGTTCATGCTTATAAGAATTGCATGATTCAGTTTTTTTTTTTACTTCTTTATAAGAAAAAGATATAGCTTTCATTTATGGACTAAATGAAGGAAGTTGACAATAGAGGGGTAATCATGGAGCATAGAGATGTAAACTGAGGTTGAAATCTGACTCTAACTTAAATCTTTCACACCAAAAGGAACCTCTACTTTCTAATAAGTGTGAAAAGTGCTTCCTGCTTCACATTATTATTAGAATTATAAGGTGTCTGGGAGTTTTGTTACTCTGTAAGCAAAATAAACAAGTTAATTGTTACTCTCCTAGCAAGATTACACACACAAAGACAAAAATCCAAGGCTTTACAATTTATCTTACTTCTCTTATTTTGCAATTACTTAACTGGGGGCACACACCTGGCAGTACTTGGGGCTGAGTCCTGGGCCCTGTGCTCAGGGATTACTCCTGACAGTGTTCAGGGGAACTTATGTGGTACTGGGAATCAAACTAGGGTCAGCTGCTAGGCAAGGAAAGGGCTTTAACCTTGGTACCACCTCTCTGGCCATCTTTGGTTCATTCTCATAAGAACTGCATGATTCAATTCAATTTTTTTAACTGCTTCATAAGAAAAGATATAGCTTTCGTTTAAACAGTACTGCCAAAAAAAAAAAAGAAAAGAAAATGAATCTGATCTGGGGAATAAACAAAGAGTTAAATATCAGTATGGAATGGAACAGAAGACAGATATGACAAACAATCTAAATCACAAAGAAGAAGACAAAGGGTCAAAAAAGAATCACAAGCAGGAGGGAAACTGGGAACACTGGTGGTGGGAAATGTGCACTGGTGAAGGGACAGGTGAAAGAAACATTATATGACTGAAACCCAATCATGAACAATTTTGTAACTGTGTATCTCGTGGTGATTCAGTTAAAAATTAAATAAATTTTTAAAATAAAAAATTTGTTAAATGTACATGAATGATAAAACTTAATTTTTTTTCAGGATCAGATTTAACCTCAGGACAGCTTGCCTTAATTACTTTGGCTTTGGGAGCATGTCAAAACCCCAATGCTTCATTTAGATATGATCCTCACCTTGTTATTCAACTGGAAAAGAAATTCCAAGCAGAAATAGAAAATATGGGTAAGAATCAAATGTCCGGAAACCTTCGAAAGTCCTATCCCTCCACTTTTTCAAAGCTGTAGGAAGTTTCCCGTCACTCCTTCCTGCTCTTCATTCCACTTATTTCACTCCTCTTTGCAAATAACTTTCCCTTCTTTCCTCATCCCACAGGCAACGTAAACCTTTTCAAATATGTTCACTGAGCACTGACATTACGCAAAGAACTGTTGTGCAAGTGATCACGCACACACACGCATGCACGCACAACACAAAGTCCTCTACCAAGCCGGAAACCTAAATTTTAGACTAGTATGAAACATACAAGAAACAAAATTATAAGATGTTATGTCATAAATACAAAAGTTCTCCTCATTAGTATAAGAGCTATCACTATCACTATCACCCCATTCTTCAATTCGCTCGAGCAGGCCCAGTAACGTCTCCATTAGTCCCTGACACATGCAGGTGTAGCCCGATGACATATTGGGGGCTCCTTCAGGGTCAGGGGAATGAGGACCATTCATTGTTACTGTTTTTGACATATTGAGTATGCCACGGGTAGCTTGTCAGGCTCTGCTGTGTGGGCAGGATATTCTCGGTAGCTTGCCGGGCTCTCCGAGATGGATGGAGGCTTTTGGGGCAGCCCCTAATCTCCTTTACAGGTGTTCCTAGTCAGGCATATAGGCAGGTATGATACTCTCAGTAGCCTGCCGGGTTCTCTGAGAGTGAGAACTAGAGAATAAGAGGTCACTTCCGGGAGCTTGGTTTTATAGTCTCTGGATGGCCGTTGATAGGTTACACGGCAGTTGGTGGGTGTAACTGTCTAGCTACTGGAAGGTGGGGGAGCTGGGTGGAGGAGGCCCAGTCCTGAACCGAGCAGGCTTGGAGATCTCAGCCCTGGGTCCCGCACACCTGGGTTCCCCTGCCAGTTCCTTGTCCAAGTGTGTGGAGAGTGGTCTCAGCATGACTTTGACTGGGTCCTGGAGGTCTTCAACTGTCGGGGCTCTGCTCGGGGCGGAGAGGGAAACCAAATAATAAATAAGAGCTAGAGGTGGCCAAATTTCTGTATCACTGAGAGGTGTGAGATGTGGGGGTGTGTGGGGGGCGGCAGAGAATAGCCTTACCATACAGTGATGGTTGCTAGTGAGGTGGATTGCTTTTATTTTAACACCACAACATATTTTTTGTTTTGTTTTTGGGTCACACCTGGCAATGCACAGGGGTTACTCCTGGCTCTTCACTCAGGAATTACTTCTGGTGGTTCTCAGGGGATCAGATGGGATACTGGGAATTGAACCCGGGTCGGTCGCATGCAAGGCAAACGCTCTACCTGCTGTGCTATCGCTCCAGCCCCACCACAGCACATTTTTTACTGAGGGTTTTTCTGATTCATGTTTGGGCCATACCTGCTGATGCTCAGGGCTAACTCCTGGCTTTGCACTCAGGAATAACTGCTAGCGGTTCTTGCGGGACCATATGGAGTGTCAGAGATTGAACCCAGGTCAACCGTGTACAAAGCAAGCACCCTCATGGCTGTCCTCTCTTTCCAACCCTTCCCCTTATGTGTATCCTATAGCTCTTCATCTTCATTCCCGCCTTTTTCCAGGATGGCCTTCAATTTGTGTTTGTCATTTTAGCACATTACTATTGAAATCGCCCAAGATTGGGAGGGGGGAAAGCTGTGCTCCTCCTAACTCAGCGACCATGTTATAAAATAATAAATTGAATTTTATATATCAGATCTACTGATTCTATGAGTTAGAATCAGGATTACACCTCCGAAAATTAGCAATTAGCACTGTAGCACTGTCCTGTCGCACTGTCCCCTCGTTGTTCATCGATTTGCCCGAGCGGACACCAGTCACGTCTCCATTGTGAGACTTGTTGTTACTGTTTTTGGCATATTGAATACGCCACAGGGAGCTTGCCAGGCTCTGCTGTGAGGGCGGGATACTACAAGAATAAATTGAAAATGCTTTACTGTTCTGCACTTCTCTCTCTCTCAAATACTGTTTTCTCTCTGCCAGAAGCACACGAAGGCAATCCACTGACTAACTACTACCAGTTCAGCACGGCTGTTTTGGCCTTATGCCTTTTCAACGGAACGTACTCAGTCACCAAAGTTGTCCAACTCCTGATGCCTGAAAATAAAAACTATTATTTTGGTGGCCAGTTCTCAGTTGGTGAGTCACTAAACATAATTCCCTTTATACTCAGGACACCACCACTGGCTCTGGGCTCAGAGATCACTCCTGGAATAAGGTCTTCTCTGCGAGACCTTTGATTTTTAGCTTGAAGTAAATATTTGGATTTGTCTACCTCTTTCCCCTCATCTCCTTGTATATTTATTTTATATAACTATATAATATATTTTATATAAATTTCATATAAACATAGGTAACGTATAAATGAGTTTTGTATCAATATATTTTACATAAATAGTACATATTTATATATAGGTAAATGTACATAATTTATGTAAAATTATATAAATCTATGAATAAGTTTATTTTTGAAAATAAAGGCTATTCTATCTAATCACATTAGATTATGAAATGTTCATATAAGATATTTTAGGAAGTGTGAAAGGAAGAAATTAATACTGTTTCTATTATTGGAACAATTTGGATGTGTGGATTTATTTTAACAAAACCTCCTCAATGATAAAGCCCATATTTTGGACAATTGGATATACATTCACTATGGAAAAGGTTAAGAAATTTTCCACTATAACCCAAAACTACCATATCTGAAAGAAAACCCCTTGTAGAAATGGGTATTGGTGTTCATCTCCTATATATCCAGATCCAAGCTCACCTTTCTAAGAAACTTAAAGTAAATCACTATTCAGTATCTCAAGATAATTAAGACGAATGTGAAACTTTCTATACTTTTCCTATAATATAGAGTCCTAATCAGGGGAAACCATGTAATGAGCCCTTATCCTCCCTATTTCCAAAAGTTTTATTGGGAGACTGAGTGATAGCACAGCAGGTAGGGTGTTTGCCTTGATAGCCGATCCGGGTTCGATTCCTAACATTCCATATGATCCCCTGAGCACCACCAAGAGTAATTCCTGAGTACAAAGCCAGGAGTAACCCCTGTGCATCACCAGGTGTGACCAAAAAAGGAAAACAAACACAAAGTTCTATTGGAAAACAGTTATATTCAGTGTCATTTTCTCATCCATCTAGTAGAAATCTTAGAATATTTCAAAGACATATTACATACAGACATAATATTTTGGCATATCATCCTGGGTTTTCTCAACTTGTTTGCCATTATGACTAAAAGATAAAAAGAAAATAGTAACTAAAATGTAAAAATGAAAGGCTATCCATGTGTGTATACACCTCCAGTTTCACCATGCATACCTAAAACCAATGTGAGAGGAACTGAGTACCCTGAAACTCACCAAATTAAAACAGTCTTGCAATATTTGAAAGGATAATGTTGACAAATGACTGCTTTGTATCCTTCTCTCCATCCTTAAATAACATAGCTGACCATTTCCTAGAGATGTGTCTGTTGGAACACTGAAAGTCCCATACTTTAGGAAAGCCCTCAACCCAAGGAACATAGGGATGGGTGGTCTTCCTATCAACGATGCTCTGTTTCCTGACAGACACTGGTGCAATCGCTGTCCTGGCACTGAACTGTATGAAGAAGAGTGTGGTAAATAAACAGATACAAACAGACTTAACGGGTATCAATAACTATATACAGCTACTGGTCAAAAAGATTTTGGCTGAGAAAAAGGACAATGGTCTCATTGGAAACACATTTAGCACCGGAGAAGCTATGCAGGTAAGTCAGAGCATAAAATAGAAGACAGAGAAGGGTGTCATGGAAGGAAAACCACACCTTTATCTATTTTTATTGACCTCTTAAGATCTCATTATTAATTTCATTTCCTATGTTGATATGTATTTTACTCATGTGATTCCCTTTCCCTGCAACCTACAGTTTTCCATATCCAAAGCTTCTATGAAGGTTTGTCTGTCTATAATGTTTAATATATTATTATATAATACAATAATATAATATAGTTACCATGTTATATATATATAGGCTGGAGCGATAGCACAGCGGGTAGGGCGTTTGCCTTGCATGCAGCCAACATGGCCGACCCAAGTTTGATTCCTCCACCCCTCTCTGGGAACCCGCCAAGCTACTGAGAGTATCTCGCCTGTATGGCAAAGCCTGGCGAGGTTCCTTTGATGTATTCGATATACCAAACACAGTAACAATTGTCACAATGGAGACATTACTGGGCCTGCTCAAGCAAATCGATGAACAACTGGAGGACAGTGACAGCGATTATATATATTATTATAAATAGTTATTATGTTGTGGCTGGAGCGATAGCACAGTGGGTAGGGCACATGGCTATCCCAGGTTCAATTCCTCCATCCCTCTCAGAGAGCCTGGCAAGCTACCTAGAGTATCCCGCCCACACAGCAGAGCCTGGCAAGCTCCCCTGGCGTATTCAATATGCCAAAAACAGTAACAAGTCTCATAATGGAGACGTTACTGGTGACTGCTCAAGCAAATCAATGAACAATGGGAGGACAGTGCTACAGTGCTGTAATGTTTTATAAAGCTCTAGAGTCTTCTACAACTAATATACTATTCTATGACTGCAGTTTCACACTTTACCACACTTTGTCATTATGTGCCCATCTTTCCTCCCAAAATGCTATGGAAGCATTAAATAGAAGTGACAGTAATAGTTGCTAGTATTTATTGATGTTAACTCTAATGCAAAAAGCAAACCAATGAGGAAATAATTATAACCTCCATTCCCTAAAATAAGAGCATGAGTCAGAGCCAGGGTTTCCCTACCATTATAAATCCAGAAAGTGGTGGAAATAAATGTAACCCAAAATAGCTGGTTTCAAAACTTACATTCAGTAGCTACACTTTCATGGATACACTCCTTGGTCTGAGATTTTATTCGTATATTCACTCACTGATTTACATAAAGCCTAAGGATAAGAAACAAAAAACCTTCAGGGCAGATTTACAGGGTAAAACAAAAAGGCCCTTTAAATAATTCAGAGTGAGAGAACTTTAAAAGGAATAGAAGAGAAAAGGATAAAAACAAAAGGCATGAGCCAACATTACATATTTTAGGAAGATCAATGCATTGGGCATGGTCAGCCCAGGGTTCTTAGAAAAAAACTACCAGATAAAGCTGGCGATATAAGCAAGGATCCAGTGATAAAGTTCCCTGTGTTATTGTTACTATTCATGTGATTCAACTTCCTATGTTTGAAGTTAATAGAAAATAATAGTTTCCCCCTTCTGACTGCAATTTGAGTCACCTGGAGGGATTTTAGGAAACATAAATGTCTAGACAACACACTAACTAATTAAAACAGAAATTTTGGGGTGGAACATGACCTTGGTCTTGTCTCAAAGCCCTACATAGGATGCAAATTCACAGCAGAATCGAGAGCTACATGCCATTTCTATTTGAGCATCTTTGGTCATGGTGATCCTTGTCAGCAGAGTGCTCCCCTCCCTCCTCGCATCATATACTAAAATGCCGTTGCACCACCAAAGCCTGTCTCACATTTCTCTCCTCCATAAAGACTTTCCTCAGTCCCATTAAATGCTTATAAGCTCTTCTTCTACTAAAAGACCATACACAAGGTGGTCATTTATTATTAGGGCTCATTTCATGATTCTTTGTTGACAATATTTCTTGAGGGCCTCCTCTAGCACAGCTATTGTTCTATATCATACTGGTATCATAACCATACTGATATTTAACTGTTGTTTATTCTCCAGATCAGATTCATTTTCTTATTTTGGCAGTACTATTTAAACGAAAGCTATGTCTTTTCTTATGAAGCAGTGAAAAACAAAAATTAAATCATGCAGTTCTTATAAGCATGAACCAAAGATGGTCAGAGAGGTGGTACCAAGGTCAAGGCCCTTTCCTTGCCTAGCAGCTGACCCTAGTTTAATTCCCAGTACCACATAAGGTCCCCTGAGCACTGTCAGGAGTAATCCCTGAGCACAGGGCCAGGACTCAGCCCCAAGTACTGGTCCTATATTATAGCTTGTGTTGTTAAGCCATTCTCTACCACTTCACCCAAACTAGTTTGGACACTTCCTGATAGATATCTTAGTTGTCTAAAGCTCCCCCTCTGAAGTCAATATTTACAGAATTCATTAGCTGTCAGCTTTCCTCTTATTTAACTTTTATTTCTGTCATTTATCCACTCTCTCTCTCCTTAGGCTCTTTTTGTCTCATCGAATGATTACAATGAACATGGGACAGTTTGGAATTGCCAACAGACTCTGGACACGGTACTCAAAAAAGTCTCTCAAGGAGCATTCTCTTTGCCCATTGCTGCAGCCCAGGTCTTGCCGGCCCTACTGGGAAAGACTTACTTGGATGTTAACAAAGATTCGTCTTGTGTCTATGATTCAGGTAGAGCACTGAAAAGCAATCTCTTTTACCTTTCAGCATCATGCCCAAAGCAGATGAGATTTTGATGCTCTGGGTACCAAAAGGGACCAGGTAAACAACAAAAGCAACAGTCTTACAGAGAACTCACTCTGAGTTCTGTCTTCAAGAATTTTTGTTTCCCTGAGAATCTGTTCTTAATAGGATAGCAGGTGTCATTCTTGGTTCAAATGCTGATTTTAAAAATTTGTTTTGAAAAATCCAGATCCAAAAGGGTGTTTTCTGATTCTTGGATCCAAGAGCTGCTCCATGCATCAATCCAATTCAAAGTAATTTGACTCTCTGTTATGCATGGGGAATGATCCCTCTGGAAAATAAGATCTGTGAGGAAGAAATTTGGTCAAATAAGAAAAATTCAGCATAGGGACTGGAGCGATAGCACAGTGGGTAGGGCGTTTGCCTTGCAAGCAGCCAACCTGGGTTCGATTCCCAACATCCCATATGGTCCCTCGAACACCACCAGGAATAATTCCTGAGTGCAGAACCAGGAGTAATCCCTGTGCATTGCTGAAATTCAATGGAAACAAACAACAAAAAAGCAACCAAAAAAGCAAACAAAAAAAGAAAATTACAGCATAGATCATTTATTAAAAAATTGCAGCATTTATTTTTAAAAAACTGGTTTGCTGAGAGATATAAGGAAGATTTTTTCCCTTCTATCTTGCTTGCTCCTCATTCAGTCACTTATAAGTTTATGGACCTTGGACAAATGTTTAACCTCTAAATGTCAATGATCTGGGAGCTAGAGTGATAGCACGGCGGATAGGGCGTTTTCCTTGCATGCGGCCAACTCAGGTCGATTCCCAGCATCCCATATGGTTCCCTGAGCACTGCCAGGGGTAATTCCTGAGTGCAGAGCCAGGAGTAACCCCTGTGCATCGCCAGGTGTGACCCAAAAAATCAAAAATAAATAAATAAATAAATAAATGTCAATAATCTGGCATAAATTTCCAAGAAGAGAAGGATCAGGTAAGATAGTTTAATAAGGGACTACTGACTGGGGCTGGAGCGATAGCACAGCAGTAGGGCGTTTGCCTTGCGTGCAGCCGGCCCGGCTGAGCCAGGTTCGATTTCTCCGCCCCTCTTGGAGAGCCTGGCAAGCTACCGAGAGTATCTCGACCTCACGACAAAGCCTGGTAAGCTACCCGTGATGTATTCAATATGCCAAACACAATAACAACAAGTCTCACGATGGAGACGTTACTGGGCCTGCTTGAGCAAATCGATGAACAACGGGAGGACTGTGACTGTAACTTTATATGTATATGAGATTATTTACTTTGTTTATTTTTATCACTGTTCATGCAGTAATAACTTCCCTGTTTTTCTGTATTTGACAGATAAGTTCAACGTCTCCACTCATGAGCCTCTATCCAAAACGCCTACTGATGAAATCTCAAATATCTCCGTCCATTACTCTGTGAAAATCAATGAAACATATTCCACTACTGTCACTGTGAAAAATGGTTCTGTCTTTCTAAATGTCATGGAGGAAGCTCAGAAAAAAAATGAGACCCTATTTGGGTATGTCTTTACCTAACCTAAGTTTAATGTGTTAGATGTAGTTTTGAAAGACTCGGTAAAAAGACATCTGCGCCGACCGAACAAAGAGGTCTAAAACTCTTCAATTTCTTTGCTATCTATCCATCTACAAGGTATCCATCTACATCTTCAAACAGGATCAAAAAATGTAGATTGGACATTCCACTTTCTATCACACTGTAGAGTTTCAGCTGGTTTACTCAATGAGTGAATAAATCCCAGCAACTTCTGTCAGCAAAATTCTTTAAACAAATGAACCTCTTAAGTCATATATTTGTGTCAAAAACAGTGTTTTTCAACCACTGATTTGCATGTTGATAACAGTCCACATACATTTCTGCTAGTATTCAGAAAAAAATGCTTCTTAATACATATTCCATTTGGGTCATGTTGCAGTATTATTATTATAAAAATTACATATAAATGCTTTTATTATAAATAATGGTTTCACTTCCTACTCAAAGGCCATTGAAATACTTCTCTTATTTTCACTGGTCTGAAAGCAGAAGAAGGTTTAAAACCACTGGTCTAGTTTCTTAACTACTTCTGAATCTCTGACCTATTTGAAAAATTAAAAATCTTTAGATTAAGGTTCCCCCGTCTTAGAGTAGTCAAGTAATTAAATTAAGATGTTAACTTTGCCTCTAGAAAATATGGCATATTTGACTCATTTAACCTAATTGTTAATTATGTATTATGCCTAATAAAATGATGTTAGAGGTGTTCAAGAAAATCCTCTACAGATAAAATATATGCACGTAGAATTAAGAATTGTCTTCAAGGGCTTCCAGAAAGAAGAAAAACATGACTAGGAAATGGAAAACACTGACCATATCACTTTTTTTTTTATTTTATTGAATCACGTGAGATAGTTACAAACTTTTATGTTTGGGTTACAATCATATAATGATCAAATACCCAACCCTCCATCAGTGCACATTCCCCACCACCAATATCCATGGTATACCCCCCTTTCCCACCCTCCCCCTACCTCCATGGAAGACAATATTCGCCAGCATATCATTTTTTAATAAACAGCATCACGATCACGATCATCCTGTTGTTCGTCAATTTCCTCGAGCAAGCCCCAGTAACGTCTCCTTCGTCCTTGTCCTGAGATTTTAAAAAGTGCCATATTCAAGGCTCTTTCAGGGTTAGGAGAATGAGACCCATCATTGTCACTAGTATTTGGCATATTGGCAGGGGTCACACCCACCAATTGGCCCCCTGGTGCCATGTAATCCCATCAATGGCCAAGACCCAGAGACTATAAAACCCAGCTCCCAACCGCAAATGCGGCTGCACGACATCTTATTGTCTCATTCTTACTTTGGACAAACTGGCAGGCTACCAAATGTAACCTGCCCACACGGTAGAGTCTGGCAAACTCCCCATGGCGTACCCAATATGCCAAATATCAGTAACAATGATGGGTCTCATTCTCCTAACCCTGAAAGAACCTTGATTATGGCACTTTTTTAAAAAATTCTCAGGGCTAGGACAAAGGAGACGTTACTGGGGCCTGCTCAAGGCAATCGACAAACAACAGGATGGTCGTGATTGTGATCATGATTTGGCATAGTGGGTATGCCACGGGGAGTTTGCCAGACTCTGCCGTGTGGGCAGGTTACGTTCAGTAGCCTGCCAGGTTGTCCAAAAAATAAACAGCATAAAGAATCAAATTGTGCTTTCTTATTCCCTCTTTCCTAAGAAAAATTCTGATTTAACTTATGGTGTGTCTAGGACACAAGCACAACCTTTCTTCTTCTGTTTTTGGATCACAATGGTTGCTAGATCAGTGTCCATTAGAAATGGTTCACTGACAAGTGTCTACCCTGACAAGAGGTGGGTACTGAAGCCACAAGAATATTTCTCTAATTTATCATGGAACTAAGTTAAGTGCTTCGTAGAGGGCGTGCATTATCCCCAAGAATGTTTGTACCACCCGCAGATCCCTGGCCTGGCTCAGATCTACAGAATCATGATATCTGGGCAAGAAGCTGAGGAAACTGTATTGTTTGACAACAGCTTCAAGTGATCCTTAAGCACAGTGGACTTTGGAAAACTGCCATATGGGGTTGTCCAAATTCCTGACACTGTTCCCACAGTTTTACAGTGACGGAGAGCTCGTGGGGACCCTACGTCACGTCTGTTCAGGGTCTAAGAGCCACCAATGAAGATAGAAGCTACTGGCAACTTCTAAGTGAAGATAAACCATTAAGTCAAGGTATGGAAGAGCACCTATAAAGAGCCCACCCACAAGTAATAATGTCCAAAGATTAACGGTGGGGGGAAAGTGGAGAGGGAGAAATTCTTTTGAGGAATATGTCAGTGAGGTAGGAAATGAGTCATCGTTATTCAGTGAATTCATAAAATTATTTGACCCAATAGCACAGCAATAGGGCATTTGCCTTGCGCACAGCCAGCCCGACCGATCCAGGTTTGATTCCTCCACCCCTCTCAGAGAGCCCGGCAAGCTGCCTAGAGTATCTCGCCTGCATGGCAGAGCCTGGCAAGCTCCCCGTGACGTATTCAATATGCCAAACACAGTAACAACAAGTCTCAAAATGGAGACGTTACTGGGCCCACTCAAGCAAATTAACGAACAAGGAGAGGACAGTTTTGTTTGTTTCCTAAATTTCACTTCTTGAAGCACCATGATTTACAAAGTTATTCATAGTTGGCTTTTAGACATACAATGTTCCACTGCTAATCCCACCACCATCATTTGACTCACTTTTCTTTTTTTCTTTTTTTCTTTTTGTCTCAGGCATTGGCAGTTACCTTGTTCATGATGGAGAAAATTTGGAGATTCGGTGGAGCAAATATTGAAAAACTCAAACCTTCTTCAGCTGGATCTAACCCTTTTTTTTTCAGGGAACTCTCATATGGAAAATGACCTCATGCCTTCCTTTTCTCTTCTCTTAATCCTAATACAGAGAGTCAGTAACCTCCTTTTCTCTGGTTGCATGTTCAATAAAAGATCAACAACAGTATGAGAACAAGCACCTTCAACTTGGTTCATTACTACTAAAATGGATTCCTATTAAAGGGAACACTGCCCCAGGAAGTAACAATGTGAAGAGAGGGTCAACCAACACCTCTAAGAGCTTTGGTTCTTCTCAAGTTTTTTCCCACTGACTAGATGACCTTGGGCAACGGCAGAAAATAAACATAAGGTTTTAGGTCGAATGATATAGCAACAACCAATGAGATCAAAAAGAATGTTTACAGGGAAAGTGAACTCTAAAGTCCAGATGCTAGGGCTGAGTGGACATAATGACCTCATTCAGGCAGTGGGGAAAGGGGAAATATTCTGGGAAAGGGAAAATGTTCCAGGAAAAGGGAAGAATGTGCAACTTCTACATTAAAATTAGTCCGTGGGATCAAAGAGCACTTGATTTGTGTGTGGGAGCTCCAGTCTGATTTCCAGCACTATAAGGGTTCCTCAAGAAACTCTGCCAGATGTATCCCTTGAACATGCAAAAAATATTAAAAATTAACTAGCATATAAACTTTGAGAAATAGTAACATCTTCACCTCCAGCTGCATTTTTATTTTTCCCAAAAATTTTTCCCCTTACTTCCCCATAAAAATCACTTGATTCCATATCATTAAAATAAACATGCAAAAAAATTAAAATTAAAAATAATTGTGCAGGTTTCCTGAGCACCAGGGGTAATCCTCAAGCACAGAGCTGGGAGTAGTACCACTAGGTGTGACCCATAACAAAAAAAAAATGAACGAGCCCCCCAAACAAAAAAAAAACAAAGACTACACCTCCAATATTCATTTTAGTGCTACAATCAGAATGCTCATGAGCACCCCACCCAGTGAGGCCACATCATGATGTACACCTCAAGGTCATAGCAAAAGTGACAGAGGGAAGAGAAGGTGGGAGTTAGAAAACAGTGACTTCACTATAACTGTACCCCTGTTGTTCATCGATTTGCTCGAGCGGGCCCAGTAACGTCCCAGTAACGGTCCAGTAATGTCTCCATTATGGGACTTGTTGTTACTGTGTTTGGCATATGAATATGTCATGGGTAGCTTGCCAGGCTTTACCATGAGGGTGAGATACTCTCTGTAGCTTCCTGGGCTCTCTGAGAGGGGAGGAGGAATCAAACCCAGGTCGGCGGGGCCGGCCTCGTGCAAGGCAAACACCCAACAGCTTTGCTATCACTCCAGCCGATGAGTTCTCAGGAATTAATAAAATCAAGATGTGATTTAAAGAATCACATCTTTCCACCAGTCCTAAAGTAACCTAAAGTGCACGAAAGCCAAACCCCCTTGGGGATATAGGAATTGGGACTGACAGGATTCTCATACCAAGATAGCCTCCATAGAAGGCTGGATCCCTTCAGGAGATGACAAACTTTAGCAAGAACAAAAGGCTGCGATAAGAATTTGAAAGAAGACCACCAAAAGTTCTGATCTCTTCTGTTTGATAACACCTTGCAACAGACTCTTACAGACATAAAAAGTCCCAAGGGGGTGGAGTGGGGGGTTAATTGGGGGGCAATCCCATAAAAGCAACTTTGCAAAGGCAATTTGCACACTTTCCTCATTTGGGGGTTTACCCACATCTCTACTTGTCTCTCTCTCCTCTGGAAAAAGCCTGTGCTCTTGTCTTAAATGAATTTCACTCTTTCCCACCTCAATCTCTAAATAAAACTGTTCCACCCTATGATACATCTCCTTCCGAAATTATTCTTTTTTGGGGAAGGGGTTAGGGTCACCACCGGTGATGCACAGGGGTTACTCCTGGCTCATGCACTCAGGAATTACACCTGGCGGTGCTTGGGGGACCATGTGGGATGCTAGGAATTGAACCCGGGTCAGCCACATGCAAGCAAAATGCCCTACTCACTGTGCTATTGCTCCAGTCCCCTCCTTCTGAAATTCTTTTCTGCAAAAGTAGTTGGCAGATCTGGAAATGTGGGTGGAGACACAAACTGATATTCCTTTTCTTGCAAAGGGTAATCCCTCACTCCATCCTGAGATCACAGTTCCCTAAGAATTCAGGTAATGAAAGCCAGTTCCCATGCTGTATAGATCAAATGGACTGTGAGTGAAGCTTCATGGGTGCCCAGTAAGATGGTAAGACACTAGCATACAGACCATGTGAATTATTGGTTGGACTTTTCCAGTCCCAACTACCCCCCAGGGACTTCCCTGGGAATATGGTGGTCTTGAATAGAAGATGATCTAGAAGATGACAGCACGTTGTATCAAGACAATTACCTCCCTTACTCCCCACCTCTCCCACCAACATCATTTGGGGAACGCCAGGAATCCCTCGTATCTTGGGGGAACCACCCACAATACCAACATCAATAGAATAACATTAACCTTTGAGCAAAGATATGAAGGAAGGGAGGGAGTCACAGATTTGGAGGAAGAGAGTCCTGGGCAGAAGGAAGAGTAATTGCAAAGCTCAAGAACAGCCTGAAGTTCTCAAGCAGCTGCACAGAGAAAGGAGAAAGTGGTTGGAGGTGAGGTCTGAAAAGAAATCAGATGCCAGATCCTACAGGACTTTGACTGATCATTGACAAGATTCAGAGAGGCCTGGGAATGGCTCAGTGGTAGACCAGCAGCCTGGTAGGCATGAGACTCTGAGCTCAAACCCCAGCACCACCCTTTATACAGAGTCCCACTGGAACTCTGCTGTCTGGGATCCCAGGTCACAACAAAATGTGTGATCTCTGCAACCAGGTGGGTGTGAACGCAACTAACATGTGTTACCTCCAACAAACACCACAGCCAAGCCTGCAGATGCCACAACCACAGGGGGTGCAACTCCCCACTCCCAGCCCTTCATCCTCATCACAACAAACGAAAAGACCTGGAAGGGTAGTAGAAAAAGATGAAAGCACTTGGAATTTCATTCAAAGCCTCTGGAGAAGATTCCCCTGAAAGGAGCATACTCAGAGTTAATATATGCCACATTTTAATATGTCTTTAAAAAAATATATATGCAAGCTATTTGAGACTTTCATCCCAGATATGGGGAGTAAAAGTCAAACAAAAAAATTTCTGGGAACCCAGGAACTATAGCTTATCTAAAGTCAATGTACTTCAAAGAATCTAAGGTAGACTCCAGGTTGGATCAACTTCACTGCACAAAGCCGGACCTGACCTGGCAGGCCAGCACCTGAGGTCTAGGAGGGCAGACTGCAAAGCCAGTGTCTCTGACCACAAGACGAGGTGTCTTAGCAATCGCTCAAGTCTCAGTGAAGTGGTTTCTGATCATTGGACAGATCACTGTCTGAAAGGGCACATCAAGATGTTAACTTTTCACCGGAATAAGAGACAAAGTCTTTTTTTTTTCTACATTTTTTATTGAATCACTATGAGATAGACCCTTACAAAGCTGTTTGTGGTTAGGTTTCAGTTGTACAGTATTCCAATACCCATTCCTCCACCAGTGTAGATTTCCCAAAAGCAGGCACTTTTCTTCTCTCTCTCTCTCTCTCTCTCTCTCTCTCTCTCTCTCTCTCTCTCTCTCTCTCTCTCTCTCTTTGCAGAGACAAAGTCTTGTGTCTATTCATACCATAGCCCAACCTCCCAAAACTATGACCCAGGATTGGGATAAAGAGCAGTCTGTGATCTCTCTTGACTTCACTAAATACACAGCCCCAAGTTTCTCATGTGACTGAGTTTTCTAGAAGTCACATTCCGACTACCTGGACAGAGTAGGCAAACTTAGATAAGCAGAGGAAAAGGTGCTCTATCAGAAAGAGAGTTCAGCAAAGGGTGGAGGTCAGCAAAGGTTCAGAAAGGCTGGCTGGGGAGGAGGGCAGACTGGTTTCCCCGGAGAGGCATATATATAAAAGAAAGAAGAAAAACACTCTCTTGTGAACACAAGGATTTGTGGAGAGCAGACGTGGGCAGCAGAGAACATAGAGATGGCCTGGTTCACCGTCTACCTCTTCACTCTTCTCTGGTTCGTGGCAAGGACCAGTCCCCTCACCTGCTGTGAGTTGGGTCCTTTTTGCCCCAGAGCACAGGAAAGCATCTGCCGAGGACTCTGCATAAATGTCAGGCATGGGACATCTATCATTCTGTGGATGAGAGAACAGCTCTTGCTGGAGGAGCTCCCAGAGGGGCAAAGCGGGGTCGAAGTGGTGTGGCCCCTCTTTCCTAACTTAGCACGCTGATGCTGATATGTGGCTCACACATGGATGAGGATCAGCTCACCCAAAGTGCATCAGTATGTTAATAAGTTCTTGGAGGGGCAATTTGATGCCTTTTTTTTTAAAAACGATTGAAATAACCCCAGAGGAATGAAACTTGATAGTACAGAGTCACACTCAAAAGATGGTTATCCATCTGTGGCCATTTGGGGTATTTGCTCACAAGTCATGTCCCTAATCCTGTTTTTGTTTGTTTGTTTGTTTGTTTTATTTCTGGGTCATTCCCGGCCGTGCACAGGTGTTACTCCTGGTTTTGCACTCAGGAATTACTCCTGGAGGTGCTGGGGTAGTGGTATAGGGGATGCCGGGGATTGAATCTGGGTGGGCCACATGCAAGGCCAACACCCTAGCTGTTGTGCTATCATTCCAGCCCCATATCCCTAATCTTTAATGGTCCTTCTGTAAGAGTGGGGTGGGGTGAAATCTATGTAAGGAGATCTGTCATTTCTAGGAATGTACTGCAAGTCATCAAAAATGCCTGTGAGCCACCTGCTGGAAGTTACTAAATGAGAAACACTTTCTTAAGGGAAGGGTTATTTCATAAGATGCTGGAACTAACCAGAAAAGAAAAATCTCCATGTCACTCCATGCATCTTGGATGCCCGGCCCTACACGAGAGCATCCCCAGGGAGGGCTGCACCAACCTTCTCCTCCCCAAAGGTCCAGCTCTGTTTTC